AATGTATGAGAGTTAGAGTAGCTCCATATCCTCACCAACACTTGGTATGGTCACTTTTTAATTTTAATTATCCTGGAGAGTGTGTAATGGTATTTCACTATTTTAGTTTTCATTTCCCTGATATAAGTAAAAATGCTGAGCATTTTTTGCTTATTTGACATTTATATATCTTCTGAACTTGTTCAGAGCTTTTTCCAATTTTTAATGCATTCATTGTTTTCTTTTTGTGTTGTATGAGTTCTTTATATATTCTAGACATAAGTCTTTTGTCAGATAAAAGTACTGTGAATTATCTTTTCCCTGTCTGTGATTTGATTTTTTATTTTCTTAAAGATCTCTTTCAGAGCTGAAGTTTTTAATTTTGACAAAATCTAGTTCATTAGGTTTTCAAATTTTATGTTGCGTGTTTTTTGTGTCCTATTCCAAAACTCTTTGCACACTCCACGTTGTGCATATTTTTTTTTGCTTACTATATGAGTATTATGAGTTTACACTTTTTTTAAGTGAATTATTTATTACAACTTAATTCTTTTGTATGCCATAAGAGTTGAGGTTCCTTTTTTTAATTTTTTTTAATGAATATTCAGTTTTTCCAGAGTTGTTTGTGAAAAGACATCCTTTCTCTACTGAATTATCCTGGAGCCTCTGTTGACAGTTATCCATATATGTGTAGGAGTGTTTCCATAGTCTGTTTTATTGATTTGGATACTTACCCTTTCACCAGTGTACACAGTCTTTTTTTTTTTTTTTTTTAAGATTTTATTTATTTATTTGACAGAGACACAGCGAGAGAGGGAACACAAGCCGGGAGACTGGGAGAGGGAGAAGCTGGCCTCCTGCCGAGCAGGAGCCCAATGCGGGGCTCGATCCCAGTACCCTGGGATCATGACCTGAGCCAAAGGCAGACGCTTAACGACTGAGCCACCCAGGTGCCCCCCAGTGTACACAGTCTTGATTAGTCAATGAGGTCACAAAATCAGATAATGTGAATCTTCCAACACTGTCTTTTTCAAACTTATTCAGACATGCTAGGTGTTTTACATTTCCAGTAAATTTGAGAATCAACTTATCAATCTCTATAAGACAGTCTACTTAGGGGTGCTTGCTCAGTTGGTTAATCGTCCAGCTCTTGGTTTCAGCTCAGATCATGATCTCATGGATTGTGAGATAGAGCCCTGCATTGGGCTTGGTGCTCAGCAGGGAGTCTGCTTGAGGATTCTCTGCCTCTGACCCTCCCCCTACTTATGTGTTCACACATGCCCGCACTCTCTCAAATAAATAAATTAAATCTTTAAAAAAGAAAAACAAATGTGTTGGGAGATTATTAAAATTGGTACTGTAAGGGGTACTGGGCTGGCTTAGTTAATGGAGCATGTGACTCTTGATCTCAGGGTTGTGAGTTTTAGCCCCAGGTTGGTATAGAGATTAGAGATTACTTAAAAATAAAATCTTTAAGAGTCGTCTAGGTGGCTCAGGTTAAGCATCTGCCTTCAGCTCAGGTCATGATCTCAGGATCCTGGGATCCAGCCCCGCATCGGGCTCCCTCCTCATCAGGGAGTCTGCTTCTCCCTCCCTTTGCCCCTCCCCCCACTTATGCTCGCTCTCTCCTCTCAAATAAATAAATAAAACCTTTAAAAAAATAATAAAAGAGGGGCGCCTGGGTGGCTCAGTCGTTAAGCATCTGCCTTCGGCTCAGGTCATGATCCCGGGGTCCTGGGATCGAGCCCCGCGTCAAGCTCCCTGCTCAGCAGGAAGCCTGCTTCTCCCTCTCCCACTCCCCCTGCTTGTGTTCTCTCTCTTGCTGTGTCTCTGTCAAATAAATAAATAAAATCTTTTTAAAAAAAACTAATAATAAAATAAAATCTTTAGGCTCAGTTGGTTAGGCGACTGCCTTCGGCTCAGGTGATCCTGGAGTCCTGGAATTGAGTCCCACATCGGGCTCCCTGCTGGACAGGGAGTCTGCTGCTCCCTCTGACCCTCCCCCCTTTCATGCTCTCTCTCTCAAATAAATAAAATTAAAAAAAAAGGGGGGGGGCGCCTGGGTGGCTCATTCAGTTAAGCATCTACCTTCTGCTCAGGTCATGATCCCAGCGTCCTGGGATCGAGTCCCACATTGGGCTCCTTGCTCAGCAGGGAGTCTGCTTCTCCCTCTGCTCTGCCTGCTGCTCTCCCTGCTTGTGCTCGCTCTCTCTCTGACAAATAAATAAATAAAATCTTTTAAAAATATAAATGAATATAAATAAATAAATAGTGCTCCACAAATATGAAATGAGTTAGGTTGTTGTCATTATTCTTTAGAGATTCTAAATCTGTCCAGATTCCCCCCCCCTCTTTGGTCTAGTTCTTTGATTTACTGACAAACATTAACATCAACCATGGTTTTGGACTTTTTTTAAGTCTCATGTTACTTTTGTCAGTATTTGCCTAGTGTACTTTGAAACTTTTCTTATTTAAGTACATATACATTTGTAATTGTTATATTTTTCTGGTGTATTTACTCTTTTATCATTATAAAATGCCCCCTTTGTCTGTAGTAGTAACACTCCTCAACTTTCCCATGTCTAGTGGTTGTGTATAATTTTCCATCCATTTCCATTTTCAGCGTATTTGTGTCTATGGTATTTAAAATATTTCTCTTATAGACAGAATTATATGAGTCTTGCTTTTTCATGCATTCTAATAATCCTGGCCATTTTGTTGGAGTGTTTAGTCCATTTATATTTAATACAGTTAGAGGTATATGGATATAAGGCTACCATTTTGCTGTTTGTTTACCAAATGCCTAACTTGTTTTGGTTAAAGTTTTTAACTAATTCTTATTAGTTAACATATAGTGTAATATTGGTTTCAGGAGTAGAATTTAGTGACTCATCACTTACATATAACCAGTGCTCATCACAACATGTGCCGTCCTTAATACCCATCACCCATTTAGCCCATCTCCCACCCACTTCCCCTCTGGCAACCCTCTATTCTCTATCATTAAGACTCTTATGGTTCATTTCCCTCTTTTTTTTCCCCTTCCCCTATGTTCATCTATTTTGTTTCTTAAATTCCACATGAGTGAAATCATATGGTATTTATCTTTCTCTGACTGACTTATTTTGCTTAGCATAATACACTCTAGCTCCATCCATGTCATTGCAAATGGCAAGATTTTATTCTTTTTGATGGCTGAGTAGTATTCCATATATATACACATACCATATCTTCTTTACCCATTCATCAGTTGATGGATGCCCGTTTGGGCTCTTTCTATAATTTGGCTATTGTTGATAATGCTGCTGTAAACATCGGGGTGCATGTACCCCTTTGAATCAGTATTTTTGTATCCTTGGGCAAATACCTAGCAGTGCAAATTGCTGGGTTGTAGGGTAGTTCTAGTTTTAACTTTTTGAGGAACCTCCATACTGTTTTCCAGAGTGGCTGTTACCAGTTTGCATTCCCACCAGCTGTGTAGGAGGGTTCCCCTTTCTCCGCATCCTGCCAACATCTGTTGTTTAATGTGTTGCTAATTTTAGCTATTCTGATAGGTGTGAGGTGGTATCTCATCGTGGTTTTGATTTGTATTTCTCTGATGAGTGATGTTGAACATCTTTTCATGTGTCTGTTAGCCATCTGGATGTCTTCTTTGGAAAAATGTCTCTTCATGTCTTCTGCTTATTTCTTTTTTTTTTTTTTTAAGATTTTATTTATTTATTTGACAGAGAGAGACACAGCGAGAGAGGGAACACAAGCAGGGGGAGTGGGAGAGGGAGAAGCAGGTTTCCCACGGAGCAGGGAGCCTGATGTGGGGCTCGATCCCAGGACCCTGGGGTCATGACCTGAGCCGAAGGCAGACACTTAATGACTGAGCCACCCAGGCACCCCTCTTCTGCCTATTTCTTAACTGGATTATTTATTTTTGGGGTGTTGAGTTTATAGATTTTTGGATACTAACCTTTTATCAGATACGTCATTTGCAAATGGGAGAAGTCTCATTCTATAGGCTGCCTTTTAGTTTTGTTGATTGTTTCCTTCACTGTGCAGCTTTTTATCTTGATGAAATCCCAGTAGTTCATTTTTGCTTTTGCTTCCCTTGCCTCTAGAGACTTGTCTAGTAAGGTTGCTATGGCCGATGTCAAAGAGGTTTCTGCCTATTTTTCCACTAAGATTTTGATGGTTTCCTGTCTCACATTTAGGTCTTTAATCCATTTTGAATTTATTTTTGTGTATGGTGTAAAAAAGTGATCGAGTTTCATTCTTTTACATGTTGCTGTCCAGTTTTCCTAACACCATTTGTTGAAGAGACTGTCTTTTTTCCATTAATCTTTCTTGCTTTGTCAAAGATTAGTTACCATATAATGTGGGTCCATTTCTGGGTTCTCTATTTTGTTCCATTGATCTTTTCATCTCTTTTTGTGCCAGTACCAGGCTGTCTTGATGACTACAGCTTTGTAATATAACTTGAAATCTGGAATTGTGATGCCTCCAGCTTTTTCTTTTTCAAGATTGCTTTGGCTATCCAGGGTATTTTGTGGTTCCATACAAATTTTAGGATTGTTTGTTCTACCTATTTGAAAAATGCTGGTGGTATTTTCATAGGGATTGCATTAAATGTGTAGATTGCTTTGGGTAGCATAGACATTTTAACAATATTTGTTCTTCCATTTCTCTGTGTCATTTTCAATTTCCTTCATAAGTGTTCTATAGTTTTCAGAGTTCAGATCTTTTACTCTGGTTAGGTTTATTCCTAGGTAAGTTATGGTTCTTGGTGCAACTGTAAATGGGATTTGATTCCTTGATCAAAGGTGTATTGGTGTATTAAAATGTAACAGATTTCTTTATGTTGATTTTGTATCCTGCAGCTTTGCTGAATTCCTGGATTCTAACAATTTTTTGGTGGAGTCTTTCAGGTTTTCTACATAGAGTATCATATTGTTTGTGAATAGTGAAAGTTTGACTTCTTCCTTGCTAATTTGGATACCTTTTATTTCTTTTTGTTGTCTGATTGCTGAGATTAAGACTGCCGGTACTATGTTAAATTACAGTGATGAGAGTGGACATCCTTGTCTTGTTCCTGACCATAGAGGAAAGGCTTTCATTTTTCCCCATCCAGGATGATATTAACTCTGGGTCTTTCGTATATGGCCTTTATGATGTTGAGGTATGTTCCATCTATCCCTACTTTGTTGAGGGTTTTTATCAAGAATGGATACTATATTTTGTCAAATGCTTTTTTGGCATCTATTGACAGAATTGTATGGTTCTTATCCTTTTATTAATGTGGTATGTCACGTTGATTGATTTGCAAATATTGAACCACCCTTGCATCCCAGGAATAAATCCCACTTGATTGTGGTGAATTGCAAATATTGAACCACCCTTGCATCCCAGGAATAAATCCCACTTGATTGTGGTGAATAATTGTTTTAATGTACTGTTAGATTCGGTTTGCTAGTATCTCATTGAAAATTTTTGCATTCATATTCATCAGAGATATTGGCCTTTAATTATCCTTTTTAGTGTGGTCTTTGGTTTTGGAATTAAGGTAATGCTGGCCTTGTAGAATGTGTTTGGGAGTTTTCCTTCCATTTCTATTTTTTGGAACATTTTGAGAAGAATAGGTATTAACTCTTCTTTAAATTATTGGTAGAGGGGCGCCTGGGTGGCTCAGACGGTTAAGCGTCTGCCTTTGGCTCAGGTCATGATCCCAGGGTCCTGGGATTGAGCCCCGCATCAGGCTCCCTGCTCTGTGGGAAGCCTGCTTCTCCCTCTCCCACTCCCCCTGCTTGTTTTCCCTCTCTTGCTGTGTCTGTCTCTGTCAAATACATAAAATCTGAAAAAAAAAAAAAAAAAGTGGTAGAATTCTCCTGGGAAGCCATCAGGCCCTGGACTTTTGTTTGTTGGGAGATTTTTGATTACTGATTCAATTTCTTTGCTGGTTATGGGTCTGTTCAAATTTTCTATTCCTGTTGCAGTTTTGGTAATTTATGTTTCTAGGAATTTATCCATTTCTTCCAGATTGCCTAGTTTGTTGGCATATAATTTTTAATAATGTTCTCTTATAATTGTATTTCTATAGTGTTGGTTGTGATGTCTTCTCTTTCATTTGTGATTTTATTGATTTGGGTCCTTTCTCTTTTTGATAAGTCTGGCTACGGGGTTATCAATTTTATTAATTCTTTCAAAGAACCAGCTCTTAATCTGATTGATCTGTTCTACTGGTTTTTTTTTTTTTTTGTATACTATTTGTTATTTATTTCTGCTCTAATCTTTATTATTTTCCTTCTTCTGCTGGCTTTAGGCTTTATTTCCTCTTACTTTTCTAGCTCCTTTAGGTATAAGGTTAGGTTGTGTATTTGAGAGTTTTGTTTCTTGAGATAGGCCTGTATTGCTACGTATTTCCTCTTAGGACCACTTCTGCTTCATCCCAAAGGTTTTGGACTGTCATGTTTTCACTTTCATTTGCTTTTATGTATTTTTTTTTAATTTCTTCTTTAATATCCTGGTTAACCCACTCATTCTTTAGTAGGATGTTCTTTAGCATGTATTTATGGTCTTTCCAAATTTTTTCTTGTGGTTGACTTCAAGTTTCATAGCGTTGTGGTCAGAAAATATGTATAGTACGATCTCAGTTGTTTTGTACTTGTTGAGGCCTGATTTGTGACCCATTATGTGATCTGTTCTGGAGAATGTTCCATGTACACTGGAAAAAAATGTGTATTCTGCGTTAGGATGAAATGTTCTGAATATATCTATTAAGTCCATCTGGTCCAGTGTGTCATTCAAAGCCATTGTCTCCTTGTTGATTTTCTGTTTAGATATCTTTCCATTGCTGTAAGTGGTGTTAAAATCCCGTTATTATTGTATTTTTATCAATGAACTTCTTTATGTTTGTTGTTAATTGATTTGTACATTTGAGTACTCCCAAGTTGGGAGCATAAATATTTACACTTGTTAGATTTTCTTGTTGGATAGTCCCCTTTATTATGATATAATGCTCTTCTTCATATCTTGTTACAATCTTTGGTTTAAAATCTCGTTTGGGAGTGCCTTGGTGATCACTTGGTTGAGCATCTGCCTTCGGCTCAGGTCATGATCCCAGGGTCCTGGGATCAAGCCCCACATAGGGCTCTCTGCTCAGCGGGGAGCCTGCTTCTCCCTCTCCCTCTGCCTGCCACTCTTGTGATCTCTCTCTCTCTCTCTGTGTCAAATAAATAAAATCTTAAAATAAAATAAAATAAAATCTAGTTTGCCTGAAAAAATATGGCTACTCAGCTTTCTTTTGATGTCCATTAGCATGATAAATGGTTCTCCATCCCCTCACTTTCAATCTGCAGGTGTCTTTACTAACCCTTTTTTTTTTTTTAAATCCTTTTAAATATATTCTATATTTTAAGGCAGTTTTAGGTTCATGGCAAAATTGTATAGAAAGTACAGAGTTTCAGGGCTCCTGGCTGGCTCAGTCCATGGAGCATGTGAGTCTTAATCTGGAATTTTGGGTTCAAGCCCCACATTGGTCATAAAGATTACTTAAAAATAAAATCTTTTTTTAAAAGAAAGTAGAGTTTCCATTTACCCCCTGCCCCTACACATGAATAGCCTCCCCATTATCAACATTTTGCACTAGAGTGATACTGTTATTACAGTGAACCTACATTAACACATCATTATTTCCCAAAATCTGTAGTTTACATTAAGGTTCACTCTTGGTCTTATATATTTGGTGGATTCTCACAAATATATAATGATATATCTGCCTTTAGTATTATATAGAATAGTTTCACTGCTCTAAAAATCCTCTGTGCTACACCTATTCATCCCTTATCCCTTCCTTTTTTTTTTTTTTTAACTATCTCCATAGTTTTCCTAACCAAAATATCATATAGTTGGAATCATATGGAATCATACAGCCTTTTCTGATTGGCTTCTTATCCTAACCTGTTTTGGGTTTTTTTTTTTTAAAGATTTCTTTATTTATTTTAGGGGAGGGAGGAGTAGGGGGAGTGGGAGAGAGAGAATCTCAAGCTGATTCCCCACTGAGCATGGAGCCTGACATAGGGCTCAATCCCACGACCCTGAGAAAATGACCTGAGCTGAAATCAAGGGTCACATACTTAACTGACTGAGCCACCCAGGCACCCCAACCTTTTTTTTAGTCATCTCTTTTTATATATGTTGTCTCTTGTGTCAATCAAATACATTTTAATAGTTCATTTTCATTCATGTATTGACTTTTTACTTATATCTATTTCCATGCCCTGGTTTTTCATTACTTCTTTGAACACATTAAAAATAGCTGCTTTGAAGCCTTTTTTTTTTTGGCAAAATCCAACATTGGGGCCCACTAGGGATTAGTTTCTCTGGCTTTTTCTGAATATACGTCATATCCCCCTTCCTCTTGTTTTGTTTTGTTTGTGTGTTTAGTAATTTTTGCTAGAAACCTGAATATCATGAATAATAGAGTAATCTCATTCTGTCTTTTTTTTCTGAGGATTATTGGTTTTTTTTTTTAGCAGGCAACTAATTTGCTTGAAATTGAACTTTAAAACTCTGCCCCCACCCTCAAGTGTAAAGCAGCTGATATATCAGCTCAGTTCTTTCAGCTTCCACCTGCTGCTTTTGACCCTAGTCCCCTTAGGGGAGGGGAGGTAAGTTCTCTTTGTGTTCACTTACTTTAGCTCTTTATTAAGGAACTGGTGTTTATACTTATATTTTAGGGCTTACTTTCTGTAGGTCTCTTTCTTCCAGTGTTTCACCCCCTGTATTTCCTGCTGCTCTGTGAGCTGCAATTTTCTGACACCTCCATACAATAAGGCTTCAGTTTTCTTCTGCTTGAGCTATGAGCAGGTTATGTAATGCTGTTAATAAAAAAATGCAGAAATCTCAGAATCTCATTAGGTGTAGGTGCACTTCTGTTTTTCAGAACTCTTTTCTGGTATCTTTTGCTAAGTCCTCTGTGATTTCTCCAACAATTGCTTAGTTTAACTACCAGCCTGGAGTTCCGGCAGCATTTATACTCTGATTTTGGTTCTTATCCTTTCTGTAGTTCTCTCACTTCAATAATTTATTTCCAGGGGTGCCTGGGTGACTCAATTGGTCAAGCATCCCTTGATCTCAGCTCAGGTGTTGATCTCACGGTCATAAGTTCAAGGCCCGCATTGGGCTCAACACTGTGCATGGAGCCTACTTTAAAAAAAGAAAGAGAGAAAGAGAAAGAGAAAGAAAGGGAAGGAAGGAAAGGAAAAGAAAAGAAAAAGAAAAAAGGAAAGGGAGGGAGAGAGATAGAAAGAAAGAAAAGAAAAGAAAGAATGAATGAATGAATTTATTTCTAAATCTCCAGCTTATCTGCCAGTTCTAAATTCTGCCTCAGGAGCTGTAGGGTTTCTGGTACCTTCATGCAAAAAAAAGCCATGAACTGAACAGTTCTTACCCATTGCAGTTGCTGTCCATTAAGAATAAATTCTCCTTCAGTTTTTGCTTGCTTTGATTATTTTCCAGTGCCATCTGTCATTTATTATATATTATGTTCAGAAATATATGTTATGTTAATTATAAATAATTATTATCTGAGGGATCGTTTTCGTGACCAATTCACTGTATTAGTTTTGGATGCCAGTTGTTCCTATGCATTCTAAAACCATATTCTTCCCACATAACATAATCTTGACAGGGAAAAATTTTACCTCATCAGTTGTGCTCCCCTTGTAATATATTGCATCTTGTATATTCTTTTGTTGTAGTGCCTGTAACACCTTCTAGCAGGTTTATGTTTATACATACCTTATTAAAGGTATGTGTTCCTTGCTTTGAGGCTATGCAGGGACTGTGCTTTGTATGTCTTGGCATTCCAGTAAACGAATGCAGTTTTGGGGTACAAAGCAACTTCACATAAGTATTTTTAGAATTAATTATTAAATAAATTCAGTGACAGTTACTTCTGCCTTCACTTTTATCTTACTATGTAAATAACAAGACAAAAATGATTGGCTTTCTTTATATTCATATGAATGCCTCAAAGGAGCAGGATCAAAAGTAGTCCACAATATCTAATCAGCTTACTCTGATCATAGTTCCAATCCATTGCAGGCATCAGTGTCATTCAAAGATGTGACTGTGGACTTCACTCGGGAGGAGTGGCAGCACCTGGATCCTGCTCAGAAGACTCTCTACATGGATGTGATGTTGGAAAACTATTGCCATCTCATCTCTGTGGGTAAGAAAAGCTCTCTTTGAAACTTTCAGTAGTATACATTTCCTTTCAAAGTGCCTGAATTATGCTCTGAATTTCAGGCTTAAGAGGTGATGAATTATTTGTTAACAGAAAAGATAATTGTGTACTTACCCAGAACAAGATGTTAAGTTTTCTTTTACATGAACAAGTATCTTAATTTGCATTGAAAATGTACTGTACTAATTTTTCAAATGTATTGAAGCCTAAGCAACTTAATACAAATTTTTATCAGGGTGTCACATGACCAAACCTGATGTGATCCTCAAGTTGGAACGAGGAGAAGAGCCATGGACATCATTTACAGGTCATGCCTGCTTAGGTGAGTTTCTGACTCTTCAGGTGGATGAAATCTAGTGGAGAATAAATTTTAAAATGGTCATGTGGTGGGTGGCACCTTTGAAATATTTTGTCTTTTTAAAGGCTCCTAAACTTTTAAATAATCATCATGCCTGCAAAATTTAAATTTTTAAATATCATTTTCCTGATATAATATTCTTTTCTAGTTTGCTTGATGTTATCAAGGATAGTTGCCACTCAATCAAAATGTACTATAAGCCTTCCTTTAGATCTTTTTTCTTGATTTGTGTCTTTTTCTAGCCTCAGTCCTTTATCTTCTTGCTGTTGTATATATTTCTTTTAGGCATTCTTAAATCTATTTTTAAGGAAGAGAATATTCTTGGTTAATGTTTTTCTTCTCACTGCTTTCCATTTTTTTCTTTTTCTTTTTATTACCTCAGATTTGTTTGCTGTGCTAAGTCTAATAAGCTCCCCTTCTCACCACAAATCTAGCTGTTGGTTTTTAAACTTCTTTTTATTACCTCAGATTTGTTTGCTGTGCT